TTTTTAAAGCTGCATTTTTAACAGTAACATACTGTGTTTGTTCAGCTAACATGTCTTATTCTGATCATAACTTAAAGCTGTGACTCTCATTCTCTACTCCAGCACAGAGTGAACCGCGACGGTTCAGACAGGATCTATTTTATGGTTTACATAAAAGTGCAGAGGGCTCTTGATGAGTGCTGAAACTGTGTCAGGACAGAAGGCCTATGATATTTGACATTCCACTAAAAACAGTGAAACAGGCGGGAAAACAGCAAAGTGCTGCAATGAATTGTTGGGTAAAGATGGACCTGTGTGTTGACTTGAGTGTGGCGCTGTACTTGTACAGATGAGAAAATGTGTTGTAAAATATTCCATTTGCACTGCATAGATTAGAACCTGCTCTTAACCCACATCAGAATATTAACAATTTACACCATTTTTCATCCAGAAAGGAAATCTCAATTATTTATTTTTGTATTGTTGACATTTGGATTGCAGCTGCTGTGCTAACTTAGAGTTTTTATAACTAGCTGCCCCCGTTTTCCCTTTGAATCCATGTTAGGGGACTCCAGCCGGTGTTGACTTAGTAAATCTCCTCTTGGTGGAGGATGTACAGAAAAGTTTTTTAAAGATAGCAGGTGAAATGTTCTCTTACCGTCCTGTGGAAAGGAAATGAATGTCTACACATAAGTGCGCTGCAATAAATGAGTTTGTGAACTGATTGACAATGAAATTTGTCCTTTTTTGTCTTTGTGTTAAGAAGAGTTTATATTTATTAAACATCTGCCTTTGTAACATAGCTGTAGCTCATTTCTGTTTTTATGGAAGTAGATGTGATCTTAGTGGGGAAAAAAGTTATACTCATGTCAGTTTATCTATGTTAACTTATTCAGTTTGTCATCCACTGCCAGGAATTTCTGTTTCTCCCAAAAGATGTATCTATCTAATCTTAGAGTCGCGGGTGCCTGGAGTCTATCCTGTCATAGGGGGAAAGACGAGGTGTACCCTGGACTGAAACTTTGAAAATAAGCTATTCCTCTGCAGATGATCTGTTAGCTATTTGACAACTGCTTTTTCAAGAATTTTTAAATAAAACAAGG